TAGGTAGGGTCTCAGCTGGCATACCAGATGAAGCTGGTTGACAACTGCCCTGGACACAGAATTGACCTGCACCTCCATGGACAACTGTGAGTCCAAAATGACCCCAGGCTGCACACATGGTCCTTCAGGGGGCACAGTTACCCTATTCAGGACCATAGTGCAACCTTCAGAGAAGATGCCTAGATTGAGCACAACAAATGAGCAAGAAGTGTGCATTGTGCAGAGATGATTGTGCAGAAAGCCTCAATCCCAAAGGTCTTCAAGAATCACTGCAACATGGTGGGGGACACACTTATCACAGGGGTAATATTCTGTAAGTCTGGGAGAAGTATATTCCAGACCCTGTAAACAATGATTTTATTGCTTTTCTGATCTGATTTACTATCGCCACAAAATATTACAGCAAGTGTGATTGCAAGAGCCTCTGCTGCCCTCTGATCAGCAGCTTGTAACAGGTTCATAAACCGCTTTCGTTCACCCTGCCAGGAGAGATTTACCTTTACCAGTTATTGCTACTTGTGTGTAACCTTTGTCTTTGCGGCCGAAACATTCAGTGCAACAGTAGCCAAAGCAAACAAATCAAGCACAGCACAACCTTTTCCCATATCACTTTAATCTCTCTTTATTGTACCCACTGTATTTCCCTCTTCCTCTTCCCTGTCCAGATACTCAGCACACTGTGCAAAAATGGGATGGCGGCTGAGCTTTTGAAATGGAGCAAACTTGATATTGGACAAGAACTTTTTAAGGCGTCACATTGTTTTCTCCTGCGCACCTGCATCTACTCTGGAATTTGAAAACCTCATGAATTTGGAATCCCTGTGGTAGAAAATTGTGCAATGTGTAGTGTGTTCTTCCTGTTTTTCTTCAGTGAATTACACCTGTCTGGGAGGAGGGGGGGAGCTTTATTGCATCATGGATTGCAGCATGAGAAAGGGAGAGAAAGGGAGGGGTTTTCCCCCTTTCCTTCCTTGCTTAGCCAGCTAACTTTACTGCCAAAAGCCAAGACTGAGGACTTCCACATTGGAGCTGTACAATGAACCAGGAAGAATGAACTTCCCTCCTAGTACCTTGAGAGCCAACCTCCCACAAAGATGCAGAGCAACAGGTGGGCAGGCAACACAATGGAGGCAAGTGGAGTTCCTGCATCCACCGTCAAATTACCTTACATGCAATGCCCAAGTGGACAAACAGCTGCCATGCATAGGAGCTGAGCAGCTCCCATCAAAAAGCACTCTGCCATGGCGGCAACATGTTCTATCTGGACCAAGCTGGTGGGGAGGAGAGCAGATGGGTCAATGAATGAGGCTGCCCTCAGTGCAGGAACCAGAAAGGGAGAGATTGAGCCCACAGTGCAGTCTGGCTGGTGGTGAGGACCAGTGGTATAGTGTGTGGGGCCCAGAATTGTTGTTGTTGTTGTTGTTTAGTCGTGTCCGACTCTTCATGACCCCATGGACCAGAGCACGCCAGGCACTTCTGTCTTCCACTGCCCCCCGCAGTTTGGTCAAACTCATGCTGGTAGCTTCGAGAACACTATCCAACCATCTCACCCTCTGTCATCCCCTTCTTCTTGTGCCCTCCATCTTTCCCAACGTCAGGGTCTTTTCCAGGGAGTCTTCTCTTCTCATGAGGTGGCCAAAGTATTGGCACCTCAGCTTCAGGATCTGTCCTTCCAGTGAGCACTCAGGGCTGATTTCCTTCAGAATGGATAGGTTTGATCTTCTTGCAGTCCATGGGACTCTCAAGAGTCTCCTCCAACACCATAATTCAAAAGCATTAATTCTTCGGCGATCAGCCTTCTTTATGGTCCAGCTTTCACTTCCATACATCACTACTGGGAAAACCATAGTTTTTACTATACATTAGGGGGCGCAAAATTTTGACACTTGGTGCAGCCTCAGTACAGCTGTGCACTTCCGTCGCTGGGCTCCGTTGAAAATGGCTTCTCCTTATTGAATAACACAACAATAACAAAAATAATAGTAGGTAAAGAAGATTGCACACGGGTGGAGGGGAAGTACTGGGTTGTGGGGGAGGGAGGTGAAGGGATTAATTGAGATTGTTAAAGATTGGTATAGGATTTAAGAGATTAATTTTTTTATAAAGATTCTATAAGGAAAGCAGAAAGCAGCAGGAAATATCAAGTAAAAGTATCGGAGAGGAGGTCAGTGTAAATGAAAACATGAGACTTATGGTTTTGTTACATGTGATTTTATTTTGGAGCTGTCTGCTTATTTTGGAGTTGTTTGCTGTAAAGAATGTATATTATGTGAATAAAATAATAAAGGATTTGAAAAAAAGAAAAAGAAGAAAAAAGAAAATGGCTTCTCCTTGCGAACCAGGATGCGACCTCTCCAGAAAACGGAACGACTCTTCTTTTCTTATCTCTGCAGCTGCGATGTCCTAGGTGACGTGGACGCCATTAGGCATTTGAATCCACATGCGTACTCGGTCTGTTTCACTCCCTCCCTCCCACCCGCCCCTCCACGTGACCCCGGGTGCAGGCAACCCATGCTACACCACTGGTGAGGACCCCAGCCATGTCAGTGAATCTGGTTGCTTCAGGAGCAGCTGGGATTGGGCTCATGCTTGCCTGCAAATACGGATCTCATCAAGTGGCAAGTGAGTGGCAACGGGCATGGCAGGGTCAGGCTTGGGCAATGAAGGCCCTTCTGAGATTCCGGGAACCTAATCTGACTGACCATGTCTGCAAGCTATGATAGAAGGCTTAATATAAAAATTCCCATTAGTGCCCAAGGGAACGTTTTTCACTAAGCCTGAAAACTTCACGAGAATAAATGGGAAGGGGGTGGGGTTGAGAGTATCAGATTATCTGGGAAGAGAAGGGCTAAATCTCCCCCCCACACACACACATTTAACTCCCAATAACAGCCCTCCCCTGATCCAGCGGTAATAAATTTAAGAAAAACAAGTGATGTGGCTGCATGCTACACATTAAGCATTGGGGCACAGTTTTAACCCTTAGAGGAAACACCAGTCAGAAAAAAAACTAGACAATGATTTTATTGTCGCTCTCAAGCAAGAGCAAAATAGCAACAGAAAACTCATGACTCCACTTAGATATAACTTGTCGAATGCCACCTAGTGATTCTAACCATATAATGACATTATCCACAAAAGGTTGAAAGAACTAGTAGGCAATTCATTTCGGACATCCAAGGGGGCTTTTAGCAGTAGTCAGCTCAGTTAATAAGCTTATTGCTCTAAAGGCCATGACATAATACTAAAGGAATAGTATTAATAAAATATTACAACTCATACATCCATAATATAAAAATCTGCAAAGACTTTGCTAAATTTCTGAGTGATGAAACACAATTTCCCTTTTTGCACTGGTCTGTCCTTCCCCCAGACCCTGTGTCCCATAATGACTTTTGAAAAGATGGAAAGAAGACAAAGTTCCTGTTGGATTATGCTGAAATGGCAAAACTGACTGGAAAGCTCAGGGACCAAGAAGACCAAAATATTAATAAAGAATAGGAAAAATTTACAATCTACCTGAAAGACCACTGTAAGCAGATGAAAACATTAGCAGGATTACAATAACACTTGTAATGTAGAAAATGTTATGGACAAAATGGAGAGATATAAAATTTGAATGCTGAAATAATATGCAGTTGAGAAGGTTGGTAATAGGACCCATATAAGGGAAGGTTGGAAGTCTACAGATTTAGAGAAATCTCTAAATATGGATATGCATTTTGTATGGTTACAACTTTATACTTGTAAAATCAAATACAAAATAATTTTTTTTAAAAAGAACACATAATGACTTTTGAAAATGAGGGGAATTTCAAAAGCGGTTTGCAGTTTGACACGGAGACCTGCTCCTCAAGGAAAGAAAATTTTAAAATCCCATTGGGCATTACCAAACCCTTGGGCATGCCTAAAGTGACTTTTTGGATCCCAGCCTATACTCCCGCTTCTTAAAAGACAGACTAGTGCCATGATGGCATCAGTCAACTTGCTTTTATCCTATTTAAGAAATAGCCATGGTTATTTTCAGACCCATCTGCTATCGCCTCCTTCTGAGGAAGAAGCTAGCACACAAACTCTTTACGTGCTTCATGTTAGGCTATTCTACGTTTTATACCAAACATTGGTACACAGCTGTGTCTATAATGAGCCTGAGCCTACGATGGAGGAGTTCACAGCACTAACATCCCAAAAGGGTGTTGGTTCTTCCATAACCACAGCCTTGGATTCAAACATAAATCAAACATTGTGCCCCCCCCCCTCTTGGTTCCTCACTTGCTGTTCTCTGGTTTCTAGCTCAGATCTCTCCAAACTTTGTAACTACCCACAAGCTAAGAGTAGGGCCCCACCCATTTGCTGTCTCGCACACAGAGCCACTTTCCTTTTTACCCCTTAATGGCCCATCACCCAGGTGATCACCTCACCAGGAAGCTATTTTTCAACACTTCCTGGATCCAGGGGTTAGAAGGGTCTCAGACTAAAGGTAAAGGTAAAAAGTAAAGGACCCCTGGATGGTTAAGTCTAGTCAAAGGCGACTATGGGGTTGCGGCGCTCATCTTGCTTTCAGGCCGAGGGAGCAGGTGTTTGTCCACAGATAGCTTTCTGGGTCATGTGGCCAGCATGACTAAACTGCTTCTGGCACAATGGAACACCATGACAGAAACCAGAGCGCATGGAAACACCGTTTACCTTCCTGCTGCCATGGTACCTATGTGTCTACTTGCACTGGTGTGCTTTCAAACTGTTAGGTTGGCAGGAGCAGGGACAGAGCAACAGGAGCTCACTCCATTGCAGGGATTCGAACCGATGACCTTATAAACGGCAAGCCCAAGAGGCTCAGTGGTTTAGACCACAGCTCCACCCGTGTCCTGAATAAACAAGAACACAATCACTGATAGGTCCACCTGCCATTGTGAGGCTCAAAGCAATGAAGACAATGCCTCCCCAGCTGTTGCCATTGGCTGTGGGTTTCTTGTGATGTCACAAAAGCACTTGGCAACTGAGTGGATATAAAGGCAGGCCAAGGGGAAAGCCCTTTTCTATTTCCAGCAGGACACACCTGGCAATGGATGTGACATTCAGCACTGCCCAGGTTTCTTCCACTTGGAGGAGGCAAACTGGTGAATGGAAGGAGGCAATCCTCTGGCAGTGGGATACTTGGGAGCGATAATAAGGCAAGTTTGCTTGTTTGAAGGCTGCTGGTGTCTGTGGTTGGAAACTGGTGGACGTCTCATGATGGACCTAACAGTAGCTTCTGGCACAATGGGGCACCGTGACAGAAGCCAGAGTGGTTTAGACCACAGTACCACCCCTTCCCCAAACTCATAACACTATGCATGATCAAATCTCTGTCCCACGCTGTTAGAAACAGGAGATACTGGGCCCTGCTGAGTGCTGTGGGTTTTTGTCTCTGATTATATGGCTCATATATCATTCCCAAGACCAAAAAGTAAAAAGAAAAAAGTGAGTGAGTATTAAATCTGTGCTGGGAACAATACCATAATTACGTACAATTAGGTGTGAAAAGGAAATTGCGGTAAAAATGCCCTTGAAGTACACTGCTTTCCCACAATTTAATATTGAATGCATCCAAGAACAGGCCTTTAAACCTTGCTGTGATCCTGCCCCCAGTGAAATATATATAAAAATGGAAAATCTAGTCCTCACAAATCAGTGCCAGAGATCCAAATGATGTTTCCCAGGCAGCCCAACCATAGCGAGTGGGGAGTCCAAATTGCTTCCCTCAGATAGCACTCCTCCCATCATCACAGGCAAATCACACACATCCCTGGAACTTCACAGCTGCCGGCAAAACGTGATTATTCTTCCTGTTGGCATTTTCATCACTTACGCAATAGCCATGTGTTTTGTGTGTGTTGTGGGAACATAAGAGTACTCATTGGTTATTGCCTGTGATGTCTGAGGCTATGCACACAAATTAGCAGCTCGAAATTCAGCAGGGTCATTTCCAGTTGCATTTTTACGTTGCTGTACACACCAGAAAGAGGGACGTGGGTGGCGCTGTGGGTTAAACCACAGAGCCTAGGACTTGCCGATTAGAAGGTTGGCGGTTCGAATCCCCGCGACGGGGTGAGCTCCCGTTGCTCAGTCCCTGCTCCTGCCAAACTAGCAGTTCGAAAGCATGTCAAAGTGCAAGTAGATAAATAGGTACCGCTCCGGAAGGAAGGTAAACGGCTTTTCCGTGCGCTGCTCTGGTTCGCCAGAAGTGGCTTAGTCATGCTGGCCACATGACCTGGAAGCTCCCTCGGCCAATGAAGCAAGATGAGCGCCGCAACCCCAGAGTTGGTCACGACTGGATCTAATGGTCAGGGGTCCCTTTACATTTACCTATACACACCAGAAAGGAGCTGGGGATGTCTCCCTATCTGATGCACATTACTCGATTTGTTTCTCCACCCTGACAACCTCCTGCAACTCTCATAAAAACGAAACTGTTGTCTGTGTGTGTGCATTGCGTGTGCACAATGGCTGCCTGAAATGTACACAACTTGGCTTAACCATGCTGTAGATTTTCAAATCAGATGAAAGCTGGTTTGAGGGGAAACACATTTAAAAGTATTTCTCAAGAAGTTATAGGATACAGATGGATTGTGGCCAACATTATGCATCCTCGGCTTCAGATACCAGCACTGGAGCCGGCGCAATATGCAAGTGCCGTGCATCTGTGGATATGATTTGGAAACAAATTATATGGCTCCCTCGCTGAAACAGGCTGGTCTAAAGCTGCTTGGGAATCCCTGTGACTTCTTCATTTTTCCCCCAGACACAAGGCATACCTGAGACTGAGGAATATGCAAGGCTTTTTGCAGGTCAGTGAAATTCAAAAGAATGTGAACTGAACATGTTAGGAACCTACTCTGCCCCAATGAACCTGCCAAAAGAATGGAATTCGGTTTTTCTGCTTTTCTCTTTCTTTCCCCCTAAGGGCTCCAGCTTCGTAGGTGCAGCTGCCTCTTACCATCCCTCTTAGTAGTATTGGAAGAAATTCAGCTTGAGGCTGTCTGCATTGTTTTCTCTCTTCCCCTCCCTTACCTTTATGACAAATCTTTGACAGGGAGGACAAAGGTTCATTCAGGGACCAGCCTGCTAAAATGCCAGGTGGATGCTCCTTCTTGCATTCTAGGGAGAACGGTTGTAGCTCAGTAGCAGAGGATGTGCTTTGCACACAAAAGATCCCAGGTCCAGTCTCCCACATCTCCAGCTAAGGTCTGATTTGAAACCCTGGAGAGACACCCCCAGTCAATTTCAGCAGTAGGTGGACTGATGTTCTGAGGCAGCTTCCTAGGACTCTGAGTCATTACTCATTACTCACTCTCAGAGACTGATGTTCACAGCTGGATGAAGGAGATAAATACGGGAGACACAGGAATCCTCTGGTTTTCCCTGCGATGGTAATTGGTTGGACTGGCAGGAAGCAGGAAATTCCTCTTGCTCATAAGACACTTGGAACTAAGCTATCTTGCTTCTCTTGGTGTGTCCATTTTGAAATGATTTGAAAAAGTGTGCCTGCTTTTTTGCAAGTTGCAAGTTGTGTTGATTTTGATTCCCTTAACATAAATTACAAAAGGCACTTTCATTATATCCTTTAAAGCACATTATGTCCCTCAATCTGGGCCCTGGAGTTTGTTTAAGAGTTGCCAACTTCGTGTGTGATAATCTACAGTGCTCAGAATCCTTTCAGGGAACTTAAGCTGTAAGAAGAAGAAGAAGAAGAGTTTGGATTTGATATCCCGCTTTATCACTACCCGAAGGAGTCTCAAAGCAGCTAACATTCTCCTTTCCCTTCCTCCCCCACAACAAACACTCTGTGAGGTGAGTGGGGCTGAGAGACTTCAAAGAAGTGTGACTAGCCAAAGGTCACCCAGCAGCTGCATGTGGAGGAGTGGAGACCCGAACCCGGTTCACCAGATTACGAGTCTATCGCTCTTAACCACTACACCACACTGGCTCTCAAGTTACTGTCAGGGACAGTGCTGAGGAGAGCTGCACTGAGGAAGAATTGTGGGAGCCTCCCCCTCCCCCTGATCAGGATCCAAATCCTGAATCTTCCCAGGAGCAGGAGGACATTATAGATTTGGAATAGTGGTTTGCAGAAGGGCATAGTTAAGAAGGCAGAAGCTGGGAAATACTGGATGGGGAACAGCTAGGAGAACACACACACACACACACACACACACACACACACACACACACAGTGTTAACAGATTCACTGTCTCTGGACAGCATTCATCCACTCTACCCAAGGTCAAGAAGAGCTCAGAAAGTGGCAGAACAGAAAGCACACAAAGCACAGACGGGCCAAGCTCAGATTACATGACGTAGAAGTGACATGGATTAATAGGGACGCAAGGGGGTGTAATCCTTAATTGGGAGCACCACCATTTCTAGGAGATGGGTTCTTTGTCCTCTTGCTGTGATAATATAAAGTTTCTAACTGGTAAGAAGACTCCTGTTCCTTTGTTCTGCTGATCTACTGCCATGGGGGGAGGAAGCCAATTTCCTGAAGCCTGACGGATGCACACAGCCTCAGGATGGGATTTACTGAACATTGCTATCCTATGTCATGCTGGGTCCAGGCTACCAGGCTTGTCCCCCGGATAATCTGGGGATCGAAGAAACAAAGCTATTCCACCCGGAACAGGCTGGCTTCCGTAAAGGTCACAGCACATCTGGCCAATGTCTTGTTTTATTTACCCTGATTGATAAATACCTAAACAGGTTCAACTGTAAACTACACGCGGCTTTTGTGGACCTGACCTCCGCTTTTGACTCCATTCCCAGAGATAGGCTATGGCAGAAGCTTAGTTCCACCAACATAGATAAGAGACTCCTCCTTCTTCTCATGGAAATTCATAATGACATATCGGCCAGAGTAAAATTCGGCCCTCTGGGAGCTCTTTCTGATTCTTTCTCTCTGAATAAAGGGGTCAAACAGGGCTGCCTCTTGGCCCCTTTTCTATTCAATTTCTATATCAACGACATCGTTACAACTATGCAGGCCCTAAATCAATCTGCCCCCTCTTTACAACAGCTTAAGATCCCCATATTACTCTATGCGGACGACATGGTGATACTGTCTTTAACCAAGCAGGGCTTAAACAACATGCTCAGAGGGCTCATGACATATTGTGATACCAATTCCCTCAAAATCAATTTCGCCAAAACCAAAATTCTTACTTTTGGCACGAAAACTCGGAGTCATTCTGGAATTTTGAGGGCCACTCTATTGAATATTGCTCAGCATTCAAGTATTTGGGAATCACTTTTCAGCATGGGCTTAGCTGGTCAGCTCACCTAAATATGACCATCCTGGCTGCCCGTAGAACCATCAAAGCCTTGGAGAAATTCTTCTATGCAAAGGCGGCCAGTTGGTTCCACCAATCAGAAAAGCATTTATCAGCAAAGTCCTCCCGATGTTACTGTATGGGGTTGAAATCTGGGGGTGGAATTTAAAAACACTACAACGGCTGGAGATTCTACAAAACTCTTTTGCACGAAAGATACTGGGTCTCCCCAAGGGCTCGGTTGCTGCACAGTTAAGAACAGAACTGGGCCCCCCTCTATTGTTGCGAGAGCCCACATTAGAATTATTAGTTTTTATTGCAAATTAATCAATGCCCCAGGTTCCCTACTAGCCAGGCAAGCCTTTTTAACTTGTTCTCACTCCAACAAATGGTCCAAGGCCATGGAGACTATTACTGTACGCTACTCCCTCCCAGATTTCGACACGTTGTCATCTTGGGACCAACATAAAATCCGGGCCTGGATTCTTACAAGAGATGAGGCCATGGACCGGGCACAGTCCACCTCAGCTCGCCTCTCCATGTGGCTCCCTAAAGTGAAAGTGGTAAGATCACTTGCCAACTACTTGATAGACCTGACGGAGCCCAATTTGAGAAGAGCGTTTACAATGGCCCGCTTTCATTCTATACCCACGGCCTTCCTGCAGGGGACCTACTCTAAGACCCCTATTACTCAGCGTCTATGTCCATGCACAATGAATGAAGTAGAGGACTTCATACATTTCTTTTTCTACTGTCCTATTTATGACCCAATAAGACCTAAGCTCCTCCTCTTGATCCCGTCCTCCATTTCATCTAAGGAAGACTGTTTGAAAGCACTTCTTGTGGACGCAAATCCCCAAATTTCACGTGGGGTGGCAATCTTCACAGTGCAGGCTCTGAAACTCAGGGTTACTCTGACAGGGTAGTGTGCCCTAGTCCCGGACCTGTTTAATTTTTATTACCTTTTTAACTTAATGTGCTGAGCCTATTTTGGGGCCATTTTATGCTTTATTTATATCCGCATGCAAGGTTTTTAGCTGGGGCAATGAGAATAATATTCCACTATTTGACTATTGATCCAAAACCCTATAATGTGTTTTATACAATTGACTTTTTATTTCTATTCTTTGCCTATCCTATTGTTGTTTTGTTGCTATGGCCGATGGCTGATGCAAATAAAGATTCATTCATCTGGGGATCCTTCTTTGAGTATGCAAATTGCTAAACAGGAAAGTATTGCCCTTCCAAATGATAACTGAAACACATCAATATTACTGGGGGGAAATTAAGCAGTTGTCTATACGACATATCATTACTAGTCACAGGCATTCCTTGTTTCTTGCATGAACGTCCTCACAGACATCATTAAAATCCAAAGCTGAAGGATAGTGTGCTTGCAAGGGATTGCAGGGGAAAGGAAGAATCAGTGAAAATCACCTCCTCGAGCAGCTGGTCACATGGGTACAAGCCAGGATCCAACCCTGCTGAGTATCAGGTTTTTTAAAAATAAAAAAACTACTTTTGTTTGTTGTGCTCACATGCAGTCACTGTCTAGTTGATTTAGTGTCACGTGTTTATTTCACATGCAGCAAGAACATGTCCGAAAGATAACCAGAAATGAATTTGCCTGGACACGTCATACAAAAATGTGGCATAATTGCCCACTTCCGCACACCACCCAAATGTCATTTCCATTCCATAAACATGGTTAGTGGAAAACACATAGCATGAATCTGCTGGAAAACACATCACACAGAAGTCCTTCTGAAGATGCAAGAGGAAGCAGATGGCAACAGAGGCTAATTTTCAAGATGCCCCAATAATGCATATCTAACAAAAAGATGCCCAGGCTATTAGGATCCTATGAACGAGTAATGCTAGCAATGTACATTTAGCATTTTAAAAAATGCCTTAGCTATTGAGAGATCTTTTATGAGGCTTTTTTCATTTTGTTTAGTCATCTCAATGATGACTGAAACCAGTGCCCATTAAGGGGGGGGGAGTACTGTTTCTATACACAGATAAACTGGAATTTTTCCAAATGATGAGAGACGGGAATTTTCTGACATATCACTTGAGATGCTTAAGCATGCTATTTCACATCATTTTGAAGAAACACCAGCTGATGACATGACTCCCCAAATCTCTTTTCTGATGGAAGCAGCTTTTGCATCTCATTTGGAAACCAAGGACCCAGAGTCTGGAGGAAGAATGGGGAGGCACACGATGCCAGATGCTTGAAGTCCAGTGTGAAGTTTCTACAGTCTGTGTTGATTTGGGGAGCCATGTCATCAGCTGGTGTTGGTCCACTGTGCTTCATTAAGTCCAGGGTCAACACAGCCATCTACCAGGAGATTTTGGAGCACTTCATGCTTCCTTCCGCAGATGAGCTTTATGGGGATGCTGACTTCATTTTCCAGCAGGACTTTGGCACCTGCCCACACTGCCAAAAGTACCAAAACCTGGTTCAATGCCCATGGGATTACTGTGCTTGATTGGCCAGCAAACTCGCCTGATCTGAACCCCATAGAGAATCTATGGGGCATTGCCAAGAGAAAGATGAGAGACATGAGACTGAGCAATGCAGAAGAGCTGAAGGCTGCTATTGAAGCATCCTGGTCTTCCATAACTCCTCAGCAGTGCCACAGGCTGATAGCATCCATGCCACGCTGCATTGAGGCAGTAATTGATGCAAAAGGAGCCCAAACCAAGTACTGAGTACATATGCATGCTTCTACTTCTCAGAGGTCCAATATTGCTCTATTTGCAGTCCTTGTTTGGCTGATTTCATATAATATTTTAATTTTCTGAGATTGTTAATTTGGGGTTTTCATCAGCTGTATGCTATGATCATCACAATTATAACAAATAAAGGCTTGGCATATCTCACTTTGCATGTCATGAGTCTCTCTCATATATTAGTTTCACCTTTTAAGTTGAATTATTGAAATAAATGAACTTTTCCACGATATTCTAATTTCCCAAGTTTCACTTGTATATTGTTGAATGTCTATGTAAATTGTACACAGTGAGAACAGAACACAAATTAAGGTGCATGAAGTTGATGCACCTGAATTCTGGTGGCATCATGAAGCTAGAAAAACAGAAGAATGTCAAGGAAGCCAAAGGGCAGGATATTTGAGCTTTAGATGAAGCTGAGCATATTTTTGGTCTTTCCTTATGGGTTCTGGCATGTGCTGCCACCTTGAGATCCACAGAGGAAAGGTAGGACACAGATAATATACCGTATTTTTTGCTCTATAAGACTCACTTTTTCCCTCCTAAAAAGTAAGGGGAAATGTGTGTGCGTCTTATGGAGCGAATGCAGGCTGCACAGCTATCACAGAAGCCAGAACAGCAAGAGGGATTGCTGCTTTCACTGCACAGCGATCCCTCTTGCTGTTCTGGCTTCTGAGATTCAGAATATTTTTTTTCTTGTTTTCCTCCTCCTGAAACTAGGTGCGTCTTGTGGTCTGGTGCGTCTTATAGAGCGAAAAATACGGTAATCTTGCAGCACCCTTAACAAACTGCAGTTCCCTAAATGTGTGTCGATTGGTGTGTATGTAACCTTAGTTATTGAAATGGTCCTGCCATAAGCATGCCTAAGAGTCCATCCTTACCAAGAGTCCATCCTTACCCCATTCAGTGGGGCTTTATGGCTCTGATAATATTTTGCTTCTTTTGTAGCGTTTATTGATTTTACTGCTGTTTTGTCTTTTCACTGTTTTAGCTTTATTGGTATTATACCTTTTCTTTTGACGCAAGTCATCTCAGCAGGTTTGACAGGTGGGAGTAAAACATTTGTCATATTTTTTATGAGCTCTATGATCTATAAATCTAACTGAATCTAAATAAACTACATAAAGTACTGATGAAATAGTTTGGTGCTGCAGGAAATGGTAATCTAATAAGGCCGCTCGATTTGGTAGGTGTTCCAAAATATACAGAAATATAAAGCTGTCCCTCAGTACTCTTTGAAAGTTATCGGTGCCCGGATCAGAGGACCTTCTGAAAGAGAGAGGCAGGAAAAGGTATCACATATGCTCAGTGTCACCTTGCAAGGATGTAAAATGGTGGCAGCCTTCCTGCCAAGTCCTGAGCTCCTATTTACTTTTCCACTTCAGATCTTCTGTGTTTTGTGGCTGTTGCTGACTCAGTCGGCTGCCAGAGTTACTGGCGGCACCACATCGTACTAAGCAACAAACAAAGCAAAGGTCCAGGGCCTCTGGCTTGGCTGCTGACAGGCTGGCTGCTTGGCTGGCTGACCCAGAGAACACACAAAGAGCAGTGTCCCTGTCGGCAGCCCGCCTTGCACTTGTCTGTGGCA